AGCCTGGGCTGTGGGAACCCCCCAGCCGGGAGGAGGAACTCCAGACCGCCCTCCCCACTCAGGGCGGCGGGGTATCCCCACGGCAGGAGGAGGGGCCCCAGGCTTCCCTTCCCACTCGGGGCGGTGGGGAGCCCCGAGCCTGGAGGAGAAACCCCACGCTGGGCTCGCATCCGGGGCAGTGGGCAGCCCCGCGGCCAGGGGGAGGGACCCCACGCCAGGCTCCCCACCTGGGGCAGCGAGGCGCCGCTCCCGTTTGCAGGTGTAGCGGGTACCTTGCGCAGCTGCCCTGAGAGCTCCCGGGGAGCCTCCCCTGGGATGCACACTGTTAAGTCCGGTCTGGGTGACTGTTAGTCCTCTCAGCTGGCACGTGAGCGAGGAAGGCAGAAGCAGGCCCAGCTGCAGAAAGTTGGGGTTAAGTGATCTGGAACCCAACGACGGAGGCCCAAGTCCTTGAGCACGCCACAGACCACGCCTGGTGTGGGGAATCCATCAGTTAACACAGGCACAACTCAAGGTGTTGGCTAGTCATCCTCCCCAACCTCCTGCCTCAGCCTCCCTGCTGGAATACAGACAGAGCCGGCCACATCTGCTTTGAATGTTTACAAAATATATTGTGGTGAAAGCCTTTCTGAGGTTTTCTTCTTGAAGGTACATGAGAGAATTCCCATTAATAATTGTCTTCCAGACAGGGAAGAGTCAAGAAAAGACACGGGACAATAGGGAATTCAGAATTGAATTGTTGGATTGGGTATTCAATATTAAATTATAGCACTGAGTCCGTATTTCTGAAACTCAGATGACATGGGAATATGAAGTGCCTAGTTGCCTTATTTTAAGTGACCCAAGGGGATTTCAGTTTTTTAACGAAGTTTCTAGTGGTTTGCTTTGTTCTTAGAAATAACGCTGCCTCTGCCGTGAATTTTTACTCCATTTTGGATTCTTTTGAATTCATGTTTTTATGAATTATATTTTGGTGTTTAAACTCTTGAATAAGCTACATTCAGAACACCTAGGAGTTACTTAAACAATTCTAAATATTGACTTATTTCGCTTGTATATTTTTGTCTTTTTCTTAATCAAAAGAAAACTAAGACTCTGCTTTGAAAATTAGGAAGAAATGGGCTTGTAAACTATTGACCACAAAACAGATCCTGTTTCATTGGATTTCTTTCCTGAAGAACCAGGTGGGAGGGAGCAACGGAGCAAATCCTGTTTCATTGGGTATCTTTCCTGAAGAACCAGGTGGGAGGGAGCAGCTGTGTGTGGTGCTTCCCACTTGTAACCCCCGCATTCTGGAGACAGAGGCAGGAGGATTGTCAAGAGTTAAGAGTAGCCAGGCCTCCATGTAAAACCCCATCCTAACTAACCATCAAACCTGGTGGGAAAGCATTCATTATACTTGTCTGTTTTAATAACACTTTATTCCTAAGAGTATATCTTAAAGCACAGTTTGCAGACTTCCATCTCGGATTATTTTCCCTTTTTTGTTAGGAAGACCTGAGGCCTAAGCAACAGTGGGAATGCAGATTAGGAGACTGGGAGCATGCTGCTCTAATTGTACAATTAAGGGGAAGATGTACTGCCTTAGAAACTTCCAGTCACATTTACTAGCTCCGCAGGGTGCTCGTCGCTTCAGACGTTTCTTGATGCCCGTTTTCCACTGTATAGGTGGAAAACCTTGAAATTTCTGGAAACCATGCTTGACATTATTAGGAGCCATGCATTTCTGGCTTATGTTCAGTGTTGCATGAATTAAGGCTAATTTCTTATGTTTCTGAACCTCACATTGAGCTTCAGGTGTTTTTGCTGCAATACTTGCATATACTAACTAGGCTTCATGAAGATAGAATATTTACATATTCTATTTGTGGCCATTTTGTGAATTCAGAATACATGTTTTACATGTAAAGAAAGTTATGTATTTTTATGTATGTGAAAATTTTATTTATGTGAATGGTTAAGTTGGACATCCTTTTTAGAAGTACAAATGAGACATGGGATGTATAGCTCGGTGGTAGGTGTAGCTTGCCCCTACAGTGCTGCATAAAATAAGTTAATTTTAAGAAGTGCAGATGGAATCTGGAAAGCCCTTTGTTGTTGTTGTTGTTTTTGAGACAGGATTTTTCTGTGTATCCCGTCTTGGATCTTGCTCTGTGGACCAGGCTGGCCTCGAACTCAGAAACCCACCTACCTCTGTCTCCTGAGGGCTGGAATTAAAGGCATGCACCACCACCACCAGGCTCAGAAAGCCATTAGGTAACAATAATTGAAAGTAGATTGTATTAATACTTTATCAGTATAGTGGAGTTCATAGGACTGATTTTATTTTTGTGTTGGGGAATTTAATTCAGGGTCTCATGAATACCAAGTTTGTCTTTTATCATTGAACTAAACTGTTAGCATCCTCCACTCACCACTTGGGCCAGTAAGGCAAGGAGATGGAGCGGCAGGGAAGGGGGTTTTCCTGCCAAGCCTAATTCCCTGAGTTTGATCCCTGGAACCCACATGGGAAAAGGAGACTACTGGCTGACCTCTGACCTCCACATTTGTGCTGTGGTATGTGCCCCCCTCCCAGCATATAAACATAAAGAAAAAACAACAACAACAACAAAAAACCCGCCTCTTTAAAAAAATAGTATTCTGCATCTTAGAATACATAGGGGTTAATGTGTTTGTAGGTAGCATTATGCTGGCTTTAAGAAAGTAATGAAGTTAAACTGCCCACAGTATTGATGTTGTAATTTCTCAGTGTGGATGTAAGAGTTTCCATGTAATGTTAATAATTAATGAGAATTGGTCTTGTGGACATGATTATAACTTACAAATGGAAACTGAGTATTACAAGATCTTCAAACTTTCTCCAAAGTTACCATGGTGTGACTTAAGGTTACTGACTTCTGTGGTGCCACTTTCTGCTTCCACGTCACTGATCCGTACAGATGTCCTACCTATTTTTCACTCCTCCATTTGGTGTGTGTAAGGTAGCATGATAGGAAAGGTGAACAATTAAAGATCCTGATGTCATTATTTACCCTAAGCATTTTTCTTACTGAATATTTTCTAATAGCTCATAATCTTCCATCGTTTCGATGACTAATTTATAGATGTAGGGTTTTGTTTTTTTTTTCCTTGGTTTTGAGACAGTGTCTCTACTGGCCTTGAACTCACTATGCAGCTGAAGCTAGCTATGAATTTCCAGTCCTCATACCACCGTATCCTTCTCCAGTGGAATTGCAGGCATGAGTGGCCACACCCAGCTAGATGTTTGTTCTTAATGCTTGTCTAGCCATGCTGCTAACAGACTAGTTTGAAAGTTCTTAAGATTTGTCTAGTAGAAGATAATAGTGCTTTTATCTAATCCAGATTCTTGTATTCTATGAAGGAGTATTCCTGTATAGTGCCTGGTATTTGTTAACTTGTACTAAGAAGAAATGAGTACGTTTTATAGTAAGACATCTAGATTGAGGAAACCCTAACAAGACATAGTTAGGGGGAGGTGCTGTAACAGAAACCAACAAGGCAGAGGATGATTCGGAACTTCTGCTTCTCCTGCCTCTACCTCCCAAGTTCAAGGCTTACAGGCGCATACTAGCATGCTTGACTTGTTCTCATTTTATACATGACAACACAGGCATCAGGAGGTTTATTAACTAGAAGTGGGGGTTTTATACTCAGCTAATCCCTTCACGACAGTGGCTTGAAATATCAGCAGATACTAAAGATGCTAATAATTTAATGGTTTATCTTCCCCCCCACCCCCCCCACCTCAGATTTTCCAAAACAATGGCAACACCTCGAGGGAGAGCAAGGAAGAGAGGTTCTTTGGAGCTTTCTGCAGATAGCCTGCCCTTGAGGAGCTCCGGGAGGCAGGTACTGTACCTGTGCACGCAAGGAGTACACGCAAGGACACGGGTTTGATGGGGCGTGCAGAGTTAGAGCTGCACCGACACAGCCCCAGTCCTTGTGTTCTGTCTGTGGAGGAGCTCATAGTGTGTGCAGCAGGAACTGGAGGATAAAGAGACTGTGGATCACCAGGAGATGATGGGAGAATCACAGCTGGGGGTAGCTGCTTCC